CCCGCCCGCCGGCCCGCCCGCCCGTCCTCGCCTTGCCTACGGCCGCTCTCTCCGCCTCCACCCCGCCCCGAGCCCCTGTCCGCTCGCCTGTCCTTCCTTCTCCTCCCATGCATGATGGAAACACCATGGCCGCGGCAGCCCAGCTCTCCCTGACTCAGGTAACGCCGCCCTCCGGCCCGCGGGGTTCGGCCGCCCGGTGCCCCCTCCCTTCCCCTCCCCCACCAGCCGCGGCGTCGCGGCCCCGGGCAGCAGCAGACGGGCCTGGCAGGGCCGGGGTGCGCCGGGCCGGGGTGCGCGTGACAGAGGATGAGGAGGAGGAGGGCGCCATCCTGGGCCGACCCATCGCGACCCTGCCCGGGACCGGTGGACAGTGTCCCCTCCGCGCTCGGCCGCCACTGGGCCGCACGGTCCCGCCTGCTCGCGCCCACCCGGGAAGTTTCTGTCCCGGCCCCTTCGCCGCCAGGTGCGCTTCCGTGGAGCTCGCGCGGCTCAGCCTCGTCCCCGCCTAGCCCGAGGCTGGCGTCCTGGCAGAGCCCCGTCCCGAGCGAGTCGCCCCCCTCCCCAGCAACCAGCTTTCCCCTCTGCTCTGCCCTGTACTCCCCGGGCCCGCGGAAGCCCCCCCTCGCCTCCGTAACTCTCTCCGCAGCCTCGCTTCCCCTTACTCGTATCCCACCTGCTCAGTTTGCCGCTTCCTGGATTCGCGAGTACAGCCTCCACCCCGCCCGACCAAGTTAACTTTTGGTTAAGTACAGAATCCCGGCTCGAAACTTTTCCACCAAAGTCTACTTTCACTTCCATCCAGCAGCCGGACGCTCACTTGTTTAATCGCTGTCCACGGGGTGACAGGGACACATCCTTTAAGCAGAGGTGGTGGTTCTGCCAGGCATGGTGGTGGGAACAAGGGAGATCACTTTGTAATGGGAAGATCATTACTAAAACCTATTTTCGAAGTCTTTCCTCTTGGCTTTTTGCTTGCGTCAGAGCCTAGTTCTTTACTAAGTAGAAAACTCTAGGTCTACTTAACTCTGGGACCCTAGTCTCTCCTTTTCAAAAAGCCAGTTACAGTCCTCCCATGATGTCCAGGTTGAGAGATACCAGACACCTGTCAGTCCCTTCCAGCTCCTCTGATCAAAACTCACCCCATCTTCAATTGCCCAGCTTCTACTTTCTGGAGCTGGTGGCATTGTGCTTCTTGGCCTAGCCCACCGAGCCCTGTCTGGCTGCCTTGTAATAGCTTCCTGCCATCTTGTCTTCTTGGTCTAGGTTTGTACTAACTTCTAAGGATTTAACATTGGGGTAAAGGTTGCCATTACTGTGTTAGAGTCGAGAGACTGTTGGCATTTTATGAGAGAATGAAAAGTCTTTTTCCCGGGAGCCAGGATAGAGATGAAGAAAAACATACATCCTTAATATGCTCATGTGTTTTACATCAATATGTGCATGCTGAAGATAAAATAATTAACTTCTGCCAGGTGTGGTGGCACACACCTGAAATCCCAGCACTGGGAGACTGAGGCCAGAGGATCACCGTGAGTTTCAAGGCCAGCCTGAACTGCACAGCAAGACCCTGTTGCAGGAAAAAAAAAAAAAAAAAATTGTTTTAATAAGTGAACTCTGTTTCCCAATTTATTTGCTGTTGGTTATCCTGTTTGTTAAGCAACACTTAATGGAGCTCATTGGTGGTCATGACTTTTGCAGGGCCCTTCTGAAACTTAAGTTTGAGTAATGGAAACATGGACTTTTGGGTGTTCACTTTCTATGAGTCTTGCTTTAAAACAAGATCTCTGTTGGCAAGCTGTTGTTTCCTGGCACTGTTCACTAATTCTGGCAAGTTTTCTCCTCTTGAAGATTTTTAAGAAGACTTTTGTAGAATTGCCACTCTGTTGTATGTCCATATTTTGCACTTTATTTTCTCCCTGGTAATACTATGTGTTTAGTTCCTGTTTACTGTTATTCCTCTCTGGAGATTTGCTTTTGGCTCTGTAAGTTTTATAGTCTCTAAAATCATTTACATATATGTTTTTGTGGCTGCTTAGGTATTAACATGTACATCAGTGGTTAATTTATTCTGGATTGATGATTCAGGTAAGTCAATGTCAAGTATTTTTAAGACACTGAGAAACAACACTATATTATGAAGGCACAGAAAAAAGTAATTTTTCTGGTTGTTATTCTAATAAGCCTCCTTGTTTTGAAACTTGACAAATATGTGGGCTTTAAATTTAATTTTAGGGCCAGGGAGATAGCTCAGTAGAATAAGTGCTTGCCTGACAAGCACAAGGGCCTGAGTTCAATCCCCGGTTCTACCAAAAAAAAAAAAAAATTAATTTTATTGGGTACAGTGCTGCATGCTTATAATAACAGCATTTAAGAGGCTGAGTCAGGAGAATGGCTTTGACAAGGTCAGACTGGGTTACATAGTGCATTCAAGGCCACCCTGAATTACATAGCAAGACCTTGTTTCAAAAAAAACTTTTTTAGTTTCTAAAAATTAATTTTAGTTTCTTTTTTAATTGCTTGAGCCCAATAAAGTCAGGTAACAGTGCAATCTGGCTGCACATTCATTGTTGCTCTACATGTATGTTACCTGTTTCTCTTCATTACTCTCCCAACACAGAAACTTCATACTCAACTGAGATATTTCAGGTTAGTGACTTTTTTTTGCCAAACTGGGGATTGAACTCAGGCCCTTGCACTTGCCAGGGAAGCGCTTATTCCACTGAGCCATCATCTCCCGCCCCCCCCCC